GGAGGGACCAGCACCAGAGGAGAGAGGCAGGGCAGGTGTGTAGAGGGAGGTTTTAGGAGAGGGGATGAGGAGGGGCAGCTCACATGATCAGAGTGGGGCTACTGGAGGAGTGGGCACAGGGTGGAGAGAAGGGCTGGTGGAGGCGGACAGGTCTCAGGAAGGCTGAGGGCAGTGAGAAGGGGAGGGTGAGGGGTTGGGGGGCTGGGGGGCAGCAGGCACCAGGGGAGATGATGGAGCAAGGGGAGGAGACATGGCAGCAGAGAGAAAAGGTAGAGGTTTATAAGATATTTATTAATAACTTGGGTGATATTTATTAATAACTTATTAGTAATTACAGTTCTTATGCTTATTAGGAATTTATGCCATTAAAAAAACACTTTTTGTGGGGGAGGGTGGCGAGTCCCTTTTTTGTCTGGCGAGTAGAGTTTTCCATAATTTGTCGACCCCTGTTCATTTCTGTTCTATTCTATTCAGGTTCTTACATAGTGCTCGTCTTGGGAGTGTCTGGGATCATTAACTACCTTGGCCAAAGTCAAGGCTCTAAGGTGCTGAGTACTCCAGCATCTCACTGATGTCCACGGGAATTGAGGGTGCACAGCACGTGCCATGCATGCCCAGCATCTTGCAAGACTGAGCCCTTTACCATTTTGTACACCATTCATTCTTGCACAGATTGTTTCCTTTCCTTAGTTATTTTGTTTCTGCTGGATATTTATAGATCTGTAGGGCCAAATACTGTTCACTGTGTGCCAGTGTAAAGCACAACTGGCTTCTGTGGGGTTGCTTGTGTGAGTGAGTCAAACAGGACTTGGCCCTGTATCTGTGCCATTCTCTCTTCTCACCAATTTGCCTTGGAGAGAAATGATAGGGAGGATTTCATTCATTCTAGAAACAAAGCAAAACAAAGGCATCATTTCCTGCTCGTATCATCAGCATGCAGAGAAACTGACACAAGAGAAGAATACATTGTGCCGGAAAGATCTCTGTGTCGGCTTTGATATCTAAACTGTAATGTGTCACAGTAATCAGACATTCCCCATCTCTTAACAATCCTCAGAGAACAAAAGAATCAATAGAAAATTTGCGCGCTCTCGCTCTCACGCTCTCTGTCTCTCCCCTGCTCCTCTCAAAATTCCTTTTACCATTTTTTCTCTTTCCTGCAGAGTAAAAATCAGCCCCATCGTAGGGGAGAATACAATGTTTACAGCACGTTCCAGAGTCATGAACCCGAGTTCGATTACCTGAAGAGTTTGGAAATTGAGGAGAAGATCAATAAAATACGATGGCTCCCACAGCAAAATGCAGCCTACTTCCTTCTTTCCACCAATGGTATGTGGCAATACATGATGCTTTATCTTTCATATGTGGATTCCATGGTGCTTTCTAGCTTAAAGAAAATCACAATTCCCCTGCAGGGCAGGTAAATATTTTTCCCATTTTAGAGTAGGGAAAACTGGCATGGAGAGTTTGTCTCACCTGACATCATGCAGTGAATCCATGACAGAGATGGAAATAGAACCCAGGTTTCCTGGCTTCCAGTCCTTTTTTTAATTATTTTTTTTAAATCAATAAGCCAGTAAGGTCTTATATGCAAATATGGTCCAATATGCAAATACAAAGTTCGTAGATGGGTTTGCCAGTCCACGGTATAAAAAGCTCCGATCTCCAGAACTCCCTAGAGTTGCCTACTCTTCCATTACTCTCCAGTGCCAGCCACTGATCCCAGAGCCCCCTGCACCTAACCCCCCCCCCCCAGTGCCAGCCTCCCACCCTCAGTGCCCCCTGTGCCAGCCCCCAAGTGCCCCTTAAAGCCCCCCAGCACCACCCCCCAGTGCCAGCCTGCTGTTTCCAGAACCCCAATGAACCCAACCCTCCCAGAGCTCCTAGTGCCAGGCCCTAGTCCCCAATATTAACCCATCCCCAGAGCCCCCCTCCCCCCAGTGCCAGCCCTGTCCCCAGAGCCCTCCCATTACTAGCCTTGCCTCCAGAACCTCCCTGTGCCAGCTCCCCACCCTGGATGCCCCTCTGCCCCCTACTGTCAGCCCCCCACCCCTTACAGCTCCCATTACTAGCCCTGCCCCCAGAGTCCCCCAGTGCCAGCCCCCTGCCTCTTAGAGCTCCTCACCCTCAGTACTAGCTCCACCCCCGGAATCCTCAGTGCCTGCCCTGCCCCCCTCACCTAGCCCTGCACTGCCTCCCAATCACCGGCTGAGCACTGCTGCCTAGGTCTTGACTGCTCTAAGGCTGCCGTGCTAGGCTCTGGGGTCTGCTCGTTGTGAACTGCGCTTCTGCAGCTGGGAGGACACACTGCCCCTGCGGCACTGGTTGGCTGAGAGGTGGGACAGGAGCAGCAGGAGGAGATGCTCTGCATGGTGTATTCTAGCTTTGGCTCCCAGAGCCAACATGACCCGGTAGCCAGTGGTTTGCAAACCATCGGCTGGGAACCACTGGCCTAAAAGGCAGAATATCTAAAAAGCCTTAAAGTCATTTTTCTGCCTCTGCTCCCTTTTCTCTTGGTTTGTTTGGGAGTTTGATAGAGAGGTTAGCAAGGATAAGCACAGGGAAGTGATGTCTCTGACTTGTGGCAATATAGACAATGTCATCTTTGCTTTTATTTCTATTTAAGAAAATCAAGAATCACTCTATTATAAAACATCAGTTTAAATAGGAATAACAGGACCCAACTAGAATGTGCTGCTGATGCATGTTTCATGTATATTTCCAATACACCGGGTTCTGCAGTCAGTTCACACTTGTTGTTTTGCACTAAACAAGGAATTTTTCTTCCTTCTATGTATTGCGCTGATTGTGGTTTTGGATCCTGGATTTTTTTTTAAAAGAAAAACTATAGCTGATTTGTTTTAATTTGCAGCTGGGTTCAGCTGAACAGCTTCCTGTTACGTTGAGATAAATATCAGGAGAATCCAGTGATATTACTTGGGATGAATGGGACTTTAAGATGGATGTGACTTAATTAATTCAGGGGAAAAGGAGGTGTCTAATTATCTCCCATAGCCAACTTACTTTATATTATGGAATTTACTCTATTGATCATTGTAATAAAATTCAAAGACTTATTAAACTCATCTGGGGGGGAGGGGATTATTATACCACAATGAAGATTAATTACAGAGCATAATGTTCTGTTAATTGAGTTTTTAAATAGTTTTTTTATTAGCAGGGATATTATCTTTCCGTTTGGGGTGGTGTTTCAGAGGCTTGCATGATAGCAAAATGATTCTTTAAAAATATTCCCATGTTATTCTGTATCCTTTTCTTGTTGTTGTTTAACCTCTTAGAAGGGAAAGACCCTGAAGTTAAATGGGTTAATAAAAACAAAATTAATGGCAGTCTAATGGAATTGCTGTGTAAAGGAGAAAATTAAGATGAACAATAAGATTGAGCAATAAAGCTGGTGGAAGCGATGATAAAATATCTGCCAGGCAGGAGAAAAGAAAACCCCATTATTCAGAATAAAGATCACAGGATCCTGGGGTTCTTTTGCCTAAAAGCCTTCGTGGCACAAGATAAAGAGGATGTCAAAGTACAGGCAGTCCCCGGGTTACGTACAAGATAGGGACTATAGGTTTGTTCTTAAGTTGAATTTGTATGTAAGTCGGAACTGGCTCCAGATTCAGCTGCTGCCACTGAAACTGACCCAGGGG